AGCGGAGATTGGTTTTGTACGTAGATCCCCAGACAATGATAATAAAAGTAAGATAAGGATAAACTAAACAATAGTAAAGAGTTTTTAGACATGGTTTAGGTAGAAAAAATATTGCTCTATTAATGACTCCTAGTGATTTCGATATTTTACAAGCTACTTGAGAAATGTGCAGTTTCCAAGTTAGATGTTCAGCAATGACTACACCGAGGAAGACCGTTTCTTTCGATTCTTTGTTCATTTACGCTTATTTTCATTGGAAAATGATACTTTTTCTGTCTAGGCCTAAATAACATGAGGTTTGTTTTCTTCAGGTTTAAGGAGAGTTTGTTTTAAGGATGTTAAGATCTCGAAGCACATATTACTGAAACGCGTGTTTACATTAGTCGAAAATTCTGCTTCCGCTTCATCTTAAACGTGATACTTAAAATTCCGCCACCACTATAAAGCACGTTTGCACCTTCTTAGGTGTCATTATGAAACGAAGGGTTAAACCCTAACTAAACGTCTTGAATAATGATTGCCCTTTTGTAAACGTTGTCAAAACAAAGAGCGTCAGTTATTCAAAGTACTTACAATTGTTCAGCGATGCACAGCTGAAGATGACGGCGAAAACAATGTATTTCTTCTATGAATGACAGGCCGGCTCGTTGCTATGGGCCGCGTGCGCGCGTGTAAGATGAGACGAGTGAGTTTGTAGTAACGTGAGCGGCAAAAGCGGTGTTGTTGTGAGTAAAAAACCCGCGAACATAGTTGCGTAAAACGAATCAGCCGAGTCCAATTGTCTTCCGGCAACGACACTAATGAGATATCTGCTCTGCAGGCTACTTTTTTCGAGAGTGCTTGTAATTAGGGATGACGCGACTCCGTGTAAAAGTTATGTCGCGCACTCGAGAAACATTGACACACTTACGATGTAATTTTTAAATGCAAAATGAAAAAAAAAAGAGGATAATAAAATTATCTGTTTTGGTGGCTTCATTTTATATGGAAAACACTTAAACGTGCGACCTACAAGATATCCCCGAGCGATGGCTTTCACAGAAGTGCCAAGGTTTATTTTGTTTGTTTGAATAATTTATAATGCTTATGCAATCGATTCAAAGGCTAACATCATTTTTTCTTATAGTGTTCATAATAACTGATTCCTTGCTGGGAGAAATTACTAAGCCATACATATTTTCAAGACAGTGAAAGACAAACATCCATATCGAATTTTAAGAATTCGGAGAGAAAAAAATTAATTACAAAGTAATAGAATGAATTTTGTTCTCAGAGTCTCTACTCGGCGAAGTTTGTAAACTGAGGCTATTTAAGCCAAGCATCTTGAATGAAGAAACAATTCAAAGTGCTTGCCATTGTTTAGCGATGAATTTTCGCTTTGGAAACTGCCTTAATACTAAATATACTAAAGATAAAATACTTAGGATAAACACCCTCACTTAAAAGTATAGGGCAATTGTGATAACGCAACCGTCAACTGATGTCCCTTAAGCAAAATCTTGTTGTAGATCATTTTCAATCCAGAAATGGCTCCTCAGCAACATTAGAAAAGCACACGCACGATATATGTTTGCTTACGCGAATGCTTTGTAAGATAAATAAAAGAGAGGAGGTACTATCTCGCATGAGTTCATTACAGATGATTACCACTTACCTAAACTAAACACCGCTAGGCTACTGAAAATCACAGAAAAAAATAAATTCATCGGTTCCATAGCTGTGCAGTGGACAGTGAAAACGAATTTTCTTTGTAGAGAGCAACAGAATAGTGTAAGCATGCGGTTTAACTAGCCATGTCCCTCATGTGTCAATGGATAAAATACGAAATAATACCTCAGACCAATGCCTCAGGGCTCAGTGTTCTTTTTCAATTGCAATTATCCTCGAATAATAATGATTTTGAAGAAAGATTATCGTGCGAAAGGCAAGAGCGATTTGTGTTTCGAGAGGTGCCAAAATTCGATTAAAATCACGTGATCACTTGGTAACTTCACCCCAAATAATTCATACAATGCAAACAATGAAAGAGCGATTTGTGTTTTCAAGTGCTAATATCTATTCAAAATTGCACGAGAACACAGGCGCGGCAATAATCGAGTCGGCAGTGAATTAAGTGCTGTCATACGCGGCAGTGTGGGTTCCATAAAAGGGTTTAGGCAAGGAAAGGTTGATGCAACCAAAATTTAATATTTATACCAGCTTTTTACCGCATTGTCTGTGTGGTAACATATTGATTACAATCCAAAAAGCCAATCACCAAGAGAAAAGCGAACTATTAAGTGATAGTGTTTGCGAATATTTGATTATCGCGAAATCTGCTTCTTTTAATTTAGTCATGGCACGAGGGTAGAAAAGAAAGATTAATTACTTTTGTTATTTGTTTTAATGTCTTGTCCATGCTTCGCAATTCTCATTTTCGAATCATTTTTATTTTTTCTCTTTTTTGTCGATTTGTCTTTTGTTTCTTGCGGTTAGCTCAAGCGACAATTAGATTTTGATTTTGAATAATTAATAACTCGATTCAAAGATTACGCAATTTGTTCCTCCAGCGTAAATAACTAATTTCCTGCGAGGAAAAATTTTTGTATCGGATCAAAATAGTGAAAATAAATCATCGCACAAACCGAGATTTAGAATACAATGAGCAAAATAATAATAATAATAATAATAATAATAATGATAATAATAATAACTGCTAGAATGTTCAAGCTGAGCGTTTAGACATCTTTAGGAATTTTGGACACCCATTTTGATAGAAACTTTATCTTGTACTTTTGCGAAATTTTGTTACATATCTTAGGGTTCCCATAGGAAAATGGACAGTTCTATGAACGATGTTTTCAACTTATGAACAGTTTTATTTTGTAATTAAGACGAACTCTTAGGATTAGTAATTAAGACGAAACTCTTAGGATTTCATTTATCTATTTATATACTTTTATGACACTCTTATTAAATCATTTTTCATCAGGTTTCTTTTTTGTGTGTGTTAGTTTGCTGGTTTTTCTTTTTTTCGCGTAAATTATTGTGTAATTGTTGTTATAAGTTTTAGTCGATGCTGTGGCTGGTTACGGTTTGCCGCCCAGGCTAAGCTTTCAATATTTACTCTGGGCATCCAGACGTTTGTACTGCCATAATAATAATAATAATAATAATAATAATAATAATAATAATAATAATAATAATAATTCAGTCGTCCTCTTTGAGTGACCATTCATTACCGGTGAAGAACAATTCAAACGGGTCGCTGGAACTTAGTTAAGGGTTAGCACAACCGCTTAATAGGGGTAAATATGCAATATTCTTTAGAGGACAAATTTGAGGATTCTGAAAACCGACTGCTAAATACAAGATGTAAACTTTATACGACACCGCTTAATAGGGGATTATGTACAAGTTGAGATAGTGACACTATAAGTTTGACACTTCCATGTGTCCTCTCCATACAAAGAAGCAAATTATCAATTTAGTTAGCGGCGTAAAATATAATTATAATACAAATATTTAGTAAAAGCATGACACCGTTAGTTAACGGCGTAAAATCTTACAATAGATATTCCCTGTGGCATACGGCAAGGTCGCTGAAGCACTCGCGCAATCGTTAGCTGATGCGAAATTTCAACCAATAAGTTATTACACAGCCTAGCGATCTTTTCTTAACGGATTTACAAAGTTTTCTCCGCCATATATGCTTGACTACATTTTACGACGCTGGCCGCTGTCACCCGCGACTTATCTAGTCAGGATTTGATTTGTCGTCGACAACCACAATTAAAAAGAAGTCATTTTTTTTAAACTCAAGCTGTTAATGCGATCCAAACGTGTTGGAAAAATCAAAGGTGGGTAGATATGAAATTTTAGAGAGAAAAATCAGGTTTTAGATGTCCTTCATCTGTGTCACGTAAATGTACGATTAGCTCCTGTTGATCGAATTTCAAATGACAGGGTTTGAATCAAATCACAATTATACGTACATAAGAAAATACCTTTGCGCTCCATTGTCAGGGACGATGAAAGCGAGAACGTAGTTAACATTACCAAAATTTTCGTCGCCATGATTATGTTGAGTCTCACAAATGCAACTTTGACAATGAGTACATTGCGCGATGATGTTTACGTTCTGGCGTCACGCGCAACGTGACAGCGATGTTTCCTGAGTATCATGTGGTAACATGAATAGTAAAATTAAGAATTTGTTCATGCTTAGCGTACGTATATATCGAGTTATGGACGCAAGACGCGGAGTCGAGAGCTACTATAGCTTTTAAAAAAGTACGTACAAATTCTATTATAACAGAGCGACAACAAGGATCTGCGTGAAGAAGCTTTTTTATTGTGATACAGTGCAAAATTCTCACAACGCACAAAAAAAAATTGATAAATAAACAGACTTCACTATTGACTGGTAAAAAATACGCCACATTTTATACTTTGGTTTGAGCGAGAACATTTGATCTAGTTAACCGGTAACTGTGAATGAAAAGGTTAAATTTAACGGGAAAAATGGAGAAGATCAAATCTAAATGAACTCGAGTCATTATAAAATGTTTTAAAAGTCAAAGACCCGGGGTCGAAGTTATGAAGGGTTTTGATTATTCAAAATAATGTTCACGCTGCCGTGCACGGTGAAATTGGAGTATCTAGCCAGGTACACGCAGGGGGCGTGCGTAAATAAACATTTTGTTCACAGCGGCTCGATAGGACTTATCTAAGTGAAGCACGCGCGCTTTGTTGTACGCGTTAAAGGTATAACGTAATTTTCAATTAAACAAATATTCTATTACTATAATAGTCCATGGGCCAGAGAGATTCTCGGTACCACTCAGGGGGACAAAATGTGGTGTTATCTGATGAGAGGTTATGTGAAAGAATCTACAAATTTATTTGATAGCAATCGTGAAAGTGTAGCTTTCGTAATAGTGCTGCACGTCAGTTCTAAAACTAGATATGTAAATTGCAACCCCCCGTAGGACTCAGACAAACATCCAAGATGGCGGAATTCGAATGAGGTCGTAGCCATTCCTGTATTTAGTCGCAAGTGAAGGACAGGAGACCAGATGAGACAAATAATCGAAGTAATCCTGGTTAAAAATGGTCTGCACAAAGCATTGCTGCTGGGGGAAATGTTCGAGCGATTCGAGGTCTCCCGAGAAGCTACCAAAATCATTTTAAGAAATGGTAGAAACTGAAAAAAAATATTCATACCATTTTCAAAACCGTCGCAAGGCATTGAGCTTTATCAACAATGGAGTAATGCCTGCTCACGTGAACATTTCACTGTAAAAAAACGTTACTATAAACACTTTCATTTGTGCCTCACACTGACCAGGTGTAAGGCACAAAGATCTTTGCTTTTACAATGAAAGAGGTTTATTAAGCAACAGTTTTACTACTTTGATAATCTTGACGTAAAACAAGATATTATAACTACTATTACTGCTAAATAATCTGACTAAAGCCTCTTTTTGTTTTGTTCTGTTTTTGCTTTGCTATATTCGATGTAAAGAACATAGCTCTCTAAAAATCCCTTTGGCTGACTAGTAAATACAGACAGTTCAGGGTTAAAATTTTCTTTGTTGTTTAAGTCCATTGTGGATGAGCCAGGTACTGGCATAGTTGAATAAACAGATGCAATGAATACCACCCCATAATGTTGCATTGTGTAGATTAAGTAGCTTTCTACGCAAGGTTTTTATACTTGGTAGATCTTTAGGGCTGAGATGAGTTCTTCTACTCAGTTCAATGAACAGAAAATATAAAAAAATTCTTGAAACAGGAAAATGAACGCGGTATACTAGTTCTAAGTCCGGGACACTGGCTTAATACAGTCTAGGTACCATCGCAGTTTAATGTTACATTTGTTTGACTCCGAATACTAACTGGGGTTTGTTTTGAAATTTACTTTGACAATGATTCGTCATTGGATGAAGCCATTCATCAAGTGAATTGACAACGGTACTGTTCTTATTGTTACATCTAAGTGCAATGTCATGTAATTTGTGAGTCTTAATCATTGACGGTGCTCAGGTTGCAGGATGAAGTAATTGTAATTGCTAAAAAGGGGTACAAAAGGCTGATAAAATAATCTAATTCATTACCATAAAAGTCAAAAATTCCATTCTTTATCACAGATGTTTGTGACTTGATGGTCTTGGCATTTGTATAATGCTTGAGCTTTATTGATAATAATGTTGACTTTATAATATTACCAACATCATCTAGCTCATCAAGGGCTGTTATCACTGATGTTATCAACACTCGCAATATCATCAATTTATTTGATACTAGACAAGTATTTGCTAATTGAATTCCAGAACTTGTTGTACCACATCAGGGTATCAGGGTTCCCATTGGTACTGGTAGGTTATCGGTGCCTTTTGACTCACTTATACTGTCTGTGGTAGCCATAGGACTACTATTGTCATGGGTAACTAGTGAATCATCGGTGTCTTTCGTAGTTACTGTGTCATCCTTGTCTGTGGCAGCCACTGGGTTACTGTAATGGTTTACTGATTGGTCATCGGTGTCTTTGGTAGACACAGGGTCATCAATGTCCATGGTAGCTACCACGCTAATGTTGCCATGGGATTGTTAAGTGCCTGTTGAAGTTTTCAGTGTTGAACATGGAGGATCTATAAAGTAATTGCACGTACACATAAAAAGAGAGATCCAATTACTGATGATAACTTGATTTCTGTTACACCGTTCTGTGGTACTAACATGTCACAAAAGTACCACATGCTAACCATGTAGCCATTTTTTAACAGTCTTGTAGAATAGATTGTAATAAGGAGGAAGAAAAGGAGGCTGAGAGGAATGACAAGAGAGAATGGGGAGGGTAGGGGAAGGAAGGAGAGAGAGAAGGGGGGAGAAAGAAGAACAGATAGGGGGAGAGTGGAGAGAAGAGAGGATTGGGAGAGATTAGGGTGAGGGAGGACGGGGAAAGAAGGAAGGGGGAATGTGTAATGGTGTGAGAGGAGGGAAGAGGGAAGGGAAGAGAGAAAGAGGAGGAAAAGAAAGGAGGGGCGAGAGAAGGGAGACTAAGAGGATAGAGGGAGGAAAAGGCGAGAAAGTAGCTGGCAAGAGGAGAGAGAGTAAGAAAAGGAAGGGGAGGATGGTATAGGGGAAGGAGAGGGGGAGAGTAAACAAGAGGGGGATTAGGCAGGGAAATTAGGTGGAGAGGAGAGGTAAGATAGGGACTGAGAGGAGAAGAGAGGGGGATGAGAGAAGAGAAGAGAGAGAAGAGGTGAGGAGAATGGAGTGGTCAAAAGGATTGATCGCTGACAGATGCGACTTACACCAACTGCACATTCTCATTAGCAAAGGCATTTAAATGGTAAGGAAATAGAAAGCAAATTTAAATTTTCCCATTAGAGGTAACAAATGGTGGATGGATTTAAGACTTGAAGAGAGTATACTAACCCAGTATCAAATTTCGGTCGTTAAGATAAAAAAGGTCAGTATAAGCCAATTCAAGGTTTGTCCTCAACATTCTTTATCTATTTTCTTTTTAAGTCAACAAAGACTGTTCAGAACCCCTTATGTTCCTTTTGTTTCCACACCCCCCTCACTCAATAATAAATAAGAAACAACTTTTTTTTAAGAACATTGATAGAATATGTCAGATGATCTTTTTCTTTTCTTTTATGCCGGGAGGGGATAATTACTATAATTGTAGTACTTCCTTCAATTTCTTGCATGACTTTGTGTTAAATATCATTTAACTGTACGTGAAAAAATTCTAAATTGAAACACTCAATTTGCGCATGAACTCTTGCGATAACAGAATGATTTTCAAGTGCATTCTCAGAACATATGATGTATAAAATACCTTCAGGTTTAGTAATGTTTGTAACCTTCAACAGTACTTTAGAAGAAGTGAAATCGGATCTGTTCTGTACAACATGTTGATCTGACCACAAGACATGGCTCAAAGAAACTCAAGGATAGGGGTAAGCTCTTACTTCAGCTTCTAAATAAAATTCCATCCCTCCATACACATTAGTATTTTGCTGACTGACTAATGTCAGTGTTGGGGAATCTGGAAATTAGAGGAAAATGAATACCACTGAAGAAGTTAAGGCTTCATTTTCCCTTACACTGATACAGAATGAAGGCAGAAGGATGCTTGGAGACAGAATTTACTTAGAGCAAAATAATTAAGATGTACACATTACCTTTGTTAATTTAAAGATGGTAAGTGTAGGCCTTGCTTGTCATATTTTTTAGATGTGCTCGCATGATGAAGTTTCTTCCATCATAGATGAGGAGGACGCTTTTGATGACCAAAGTCCCATTGGGGTAGGCATCAAAGTTCGGATCATCAACAGACACCTTTAGGAGGCGGTTAGCTCAATGGATAAAATGTTTATCATAAACATTATGTCAGCCAAAATTGTTCAGATGCGGATGGCAGCTCTTAGCTATAGTTGGGCAGGAAAACCAACCAATCTCAGTCACATTTTCCAGTTGAATGGAGTTTGTAGAGACACTCTTTGGTGAATTCGCACAGGAACTTTCCTAAGACCTGTTTTATCAGAGAATAGTTTTGGCACAATTTTGCATTAAAATATTTTCATGTTCTCTTAGACACTTCAGTGAGATTAATACAAGTTAAACCATTATACTAATTAAAGTTAGACTTCCCCGGCGAATTGCTAAATAACAGCCCGAATATGATTGTTACAATGAATTTTTCTGTAACTTCAACAATTTGTTTCAAAAGAAATAACGATGAAAATAATGTCAGCCAAGTAGCAGAGTTTTGTTGAAAGCTCTTCAGGGTCTCTAGATTATGCTATGGATAACTTAAAGTTACTTGGCCAAAGCTTACATAATAAAGCGCAAAAATTTAAAGCAATTTTTATATCAGCCATATACTAGTTGTATAATTACTCCGGATCTTTCTTAGTATTTTGGAACTGACATTCAATATTTTTACAATACGTCGATCTGACTTCAAGATGTGTATCAACCAAACCGATGGATAAGGATATCCCTGAACTCGACCTTTCAAACAAAGGTCCATTCCCTCAAACACATAGAGCTCTTCCTCACTGACCAAAGAAGATACATAATTACAATTGGTAAAGAAGTTACAGCTCCATTTCCCTCTATTTTTGATACAGAAAAATATACAGAGCAAATGGGAACAGCATTAAGAGCAGAATAACTAACATATTCACATTACCTCAGTCAATTTCGAGTTGGTAATAGAATGCTTTGTTTTCTACACTCCCTCTAACCCTCTTTATTCGACAAATGAATTTTTTGTTATCAAACGTCGGTAACACTTCCTTGATAACCAAGGTTCCATTGGGGAAGGCTTCAAAGTGTGGACTCTTGTCAAATGCATTAGCTGACTTAAATTCTATGTCAGCTATAAAATATTTGTCTTAGTGTTTCCCGCAATGATCAGGAGCACAAAGAAACCATCCAATACTTAATGTCACATTTTCGGGATTGCTCTGGTAACAATCGAGCGATTTTCTTCGATAAATTCCAGGGTGAAATATCCTTTGATGCTCATCAGGACCTGAATGACAGAGAAAACAGTTTCACCACGTTGGCATAAAAATAGTTTTCATGTTGCCTAATAAAACATTTTAGTAAAATCTACACATGTTTTAACATTGTATTAACAGCTAGACTGCTCTGCCTATGCTAGATAGAGTACACAAACCTTGATTTCTCTTTTTCTACAGATTACTCAATGGCTTCATACCCTAAGTAATTAACTGAATATAGTGCATGCCATGTCAATTGGGAAGTAAGGACTGTAAGGAATTCTTAGTTCACTAGGGATTCGGGTATTCTCTCCTCTTTAAAGCGCTGGTTTAACAAAGAGTAACTTCCTTTGCCCCTTATATAGTTGTTACATGATTATGCTGATATCTCTACATCGGGGACTTCTTTAATATTCTTTAAGAGAAGAGATACCTATAACTCTAGGGATCTGGGATATTTTAAGCTACATATAAGAGTACACAAACCATAGTCCTTTTTATGTGCATGCGCATGATAGAAATTCACTGCATATCGTTCAAATAAATACATTGCATTCCATAAAAGTTGGGAAATACTCCAAACAGGAATGGATACCCAAATTACTATGGCTTTAGATGTTCCCTCCTCCTAAACGCATTGTTGGAAAAAAAGAACCCCTTTTCATAATTTTCTCCTATAGACATGATGAACATGATTGACATCTACTGTGTACCCATGGGAACTGTCGAAATCTTCTCAAACAGAAAGGATACGTATGTCACTGGGAGATAATTAAGAGTGTCTCCTTCAATTTTAGATTGGGCTCGAGGGTAGACAAGCAATGATGCTTTTTCATCTTCAAGTTACATGATTGTAATCTTCTGTATAGAATAGTTGAAGATAGATTGAATTCCAACTCCGCTTAGGAATGTGTGCCCATTTTACGAGGGAAATAGGTACCCCCTACTCTGTAAATGATACAATAATTATGTACTTTTAAGTACATTAGAATGTTAAAATAGAAATAAAAACAATGCACAACATGCACATTGACATGCAACATGTCTTACATTGCAATAAAAAATGAAGAGTGCTTCCTTTCTTGGTTGTAATTTAATGCTTGCTATGTCCACACAGTTCCTCAAGGACCTAAGGCTGTTGGCTCATTTCAATAAACTCCACGAGAATAATATCTGAATTGGTGGTTTTTTCACTCTTTACTGTATACGCATTCAAATTAGTTTGGTGTTGCCCGGCATCACAAGAAATTTGCCAAATGAAATAAGAAATCGGTATATTTTTAATATACAAAGTTACAAAATCAAGTCCATTATTTATTTAAAGAGTTTTTCATATACCAGAAATTCACTGCTACTAAAATAGTAGTCTTAACTCGATGTAGATTTATGTTAACAATACTAAGGCCACTTAAGTAATAGGAAAATTTCACACGAACAATTTAATTCACTTTTAGGGTTCTTGGTATCCTCAGAGGGGATACCCAAGACACTAGTGTTTTGGGTGCGGGCATACCAAAAACTCGGGGATACCCAAAATGCTGTGACACCGTTGGACTGTATAATACAACATGGTTTTGGGGATTTTGCTTTGAGCTGTGGCCATAGCTTTTTATCGATTGAATTGGCATGCGACATGTAACTCTAAACTGTGTTATAATTCCTATTTCTTTGTAATGTGTATGATGAAATGAAAACGAAAATATCACTTAGCCGCCCATGAGTGTAAAATAAAGGGCTGCAGTGGGGAGGGGGGGGGGGAGAGGATACTCAAATCTCTAATGGTATATGGATCCCTTCTGATTTGGCTACTGAGATCTTAGTATTCCTTTAGGACAGTTATTTCAATATCTCCTTGTACTTTTTTGCTGTTAGCATTCTTACGTATGAAAGTGTTTTTTCAGTACTTTTGTGTAAGTGTAAATACGGAGATGATATTTGTCTTTTAATTGGGCTTTGAAGTGGAGGGAAGTGTGTACAATTTTTAAGCACTGAAGTTGTATCACAGTGGAAAAGCATTTGTTAATATGTCTTCTGCTTTGTGCGCTTTGGGTTAGGATAAAACTTGCTCTGCTGTATGTAAACATTACATAGGTCACTGAAGCGATAGGAAAAATGCCCACACACATGCACACATGGTAAACAAGTTAAACAGTTATGATGACTCAGACTTAGACCCACTCGAAAAGTATGAGGGTTCGGACATTTTCTTAAACGCGATATTCCAACGAGTACAATTTAAATTCTCCTTTCCTACGTGTCTCAAATCGATAGGCTTTTTACGTACCAAGCAACTCACTTAAAACTGATGACTGATCGCTCATTCCAAGATGCTTCACAAACAATGAACACTTTTCTTTACCAAGCACAATCTCAAGCGCACAAATTTACTTTGGATGACAACTTTCTGACTTCTACAAGCAATAATTTTTTTGTCCATTGCAAATAGGAGAGGATGCCATGTTATTTTACCCAGTCTCGTGTTAATTCCCTCTAAGGGTTCTGGGTACCCCCAGAGTAAATAGCCAAAGCATTTGTGTTTAGGTACTGGGATACCCAAAACTTAGGGATACCCAAAACACTGACATTTTATCTGATTCGTGACAAAATATCCGCCATGAATAGATTACCTCGCGTGGCAATCGACGATTGCTGGTTTCATCTGAATATTCAAATCATAACTTGTCTGAAATTTGATCATGTGGAAAACCGACAGTTCAAAACTACGCAAACTTTATAATTTAAGCGGTTAATGCGATCCAAACATGCATGAAAGATTAAAGGTGGCCAGAAATTTGTGAAACAGTTATATGGACAGACGTACTTTAACGACATTCGTCTCGATACCACTATTACTTCTAGCTGTCAGTCGCAGCATCAACAAACAAGTGCTTCATTCAGATTGTACACACGACTACGAAAGAACATACCTTTCGATGCAACCACCGACGAATAAACGACACCCTACAGTAAAAGAGTTTCTAACAGGATCGCGTGAGCGATTATGTTCGATATCTGCGGTGAAGTTTTATGCTAACAACGCGCGAATGATTCTCTTCAAGTCAATCGGTACGTTTTGTTGTGATGTCTATATATAGCACTTAGTCTTAATTTCCACATTATATTTTTGTGGTCGTCCAATCATGACCTGGATCACCTCTGACGTTAAAACATGAGTGTGTGTGTGTGCACTTGTGCGTTAAATCTAACATGAAATTTTTGTTTTATTAAGCGGGTCCCATAGGTTTAAAAGAGTTTTGTTTAGTTTTTATTAGGTATTTATTGTTTTAGAATGTTGTTAATCAATACTTGTTGTTGTTTTAGTAATTAAAGCCTCTTAAATGCATTATTTCTGTGTCTACTAGTTGGGTGGCAAACGTAAACACTATCCCAAAAGCTGTGTAATTTCGTGATGTAACAATGGAATATTCGGAGAGTTTTTCGCACGAGTTTGAATCTCCGAAGAGACCTTCGAATAGTTGGCGATGGCTATCGGCAACAGTCAGCGATGTCTTCTTGTCAAATCAGTCATCTTTGGTCAGTCAGCGGCATTTTCTTTGATTCTTCGTCAGTTTTCGACTTGCTATCGCCTGTAACGTCGAAGATACGTCGCACAGGCGTCCATTAGCCTATTATGCTAGTTCATGTGCCTCATTCCATCAAGTGCTGCTAGGCAATTCCTGAATAGTTTAACTGTTTTAATCGGGTAGCCGAGTAACATACAGGACACATACACCGAAAACTAGATTCGTTCTTAAACCCACGCGCTCTCGATCCGATCCTTACAATATGTATCATACACAGAATGCCCCACTACAAAAGAATGTCTTTAAGATCCTTTGACCTAGGCTCTGCATGGAAACTTCTTCGAAAAATGACCAATGAATCAAAGTGTTTCTTTCGCGGCTGTTGTAGAATGACTTTATACGCAACTCAGCGGCTCCAAGTCCAAGTATTTTGCTGTCTGGAGACATTGAATTTAAACTAGGTCGGGAGACAAATAATATCAATTTACTTGGAATTATAACCAATGACAGGTCTAATGCCCTGTTTAATTATAGACTGCTTCAGCGTGGTTTAAGGACACTATATGTTGGTGGAGGAGTCAATCATCTAGAAGTAAAAGCTATAGGGCATAATGCTCTAGTTTGCTCTCACAATGTAAGTTCAGTTCAAAGCTATATTTGTAGGCTGAGCCCTGTAGAGACAGTGAAAAAGTCAACCAGCAACTGTTATGATTTTCATCTCCAAACCAATTAAAATGATGCTGTGCGTTTGGTGTGTTACTCTCTGCCAAAGAAAATTAACCTGCAATAAGCATATAAGAAAAGAATACTAATAAAGATTTCGGAAACCGAAAAAAATACCACAAAAAGAACTACTTTAGATAAAGAAGAATACACCATAATCAAGTCTGCAAGAATGACACCTGCTACATTCAGGAATTTCCCTTTGATAAATCATGTGTCAGCAACCTGCTTACTGTTGCAGATGCCTTGAATGCAAATTTGTACCAAACAGTGGGCTTAAATAATAAATAATAATAATAATAGTTTTATTTATATAGCGCTAAAATCCAATAATTGTCCAAAGCGCTACCTAATTACAATATAAAATATAAAAATATATAATATAAAATATCTACAATATACAATATAATTCAAATATAGCCTAAGTTATCTACTATATAAATCAAAAACATCTCAAAACAAAACGAATCTCATAACCTATATGCTAACTTAAATAAAAAAGTTTTAAGGGATTGCTTAAAAGTTGCCACTGAAGCACATTTCCTAATCTCTAGAGGTAAATCGTTCCACAATTTAGGTCCTGCAATAGAGAAAGCTCTGTCTCCATATGTTTTCAATCTACTTCTTGGAACCACTAAATATTCTTTACATGAAGAACGCAATGACCTAGAGTATGTTTTAAAATTCAAAAGGTCAGAAATATAGGAAGGTGCAAGGCCATGAAGGGCCTTGTATACCAATAAAAGGACTTTAAAAGTTATTCTAAACTCAACTGGTAACCAATGAAGATTAATTAAAATAGGAGATATATGAACATGCCTCGGTGTCAATGTGACAACACGAGCTGCAGCATTCTGAACTGCCTGTAGTCTAGCTAACAGATACTTAGGAAGGCCATGTAATAAGGAATTACAGTGATCAATTTTCGAACTAATAAATGCATGGACTAAGATTTTACATGTATCTTGGCTTAAGTACTTGCGGATTTTAGCAATATTTCTCAAATGATAGAATGATGATTTACAAATGTNAAATTTAAGCAATGCGATAAACCATTTTCACTGTATGGAATTTGCGCAGAATTTTGTGAAGAGACTTCAGGCCCAGGATGCGGATGTACGTCACCACTAACCAATAGAGATATTACCACGGAGTTAAAAGAGGCCGTAGTATTACTGCAATAAGATATTCTGCTTTTAAACCATTTTCTCTTCCGAGTCCTTAATAACAAACCTTTGTTCGGACTCATAAAGAAAAACATCCCATGGGAGGAGAATGCAAATAAGCTTCTCTGCCAGCGAGTAATCCGAGCATGACTCATAAAGAAAACCATCCCATGGGAGGAAAATGCAAATGAGCTTCTCTGCCAACGAGTAATCCAAGCGTAACATATTCCCGGTGAAGTTGGTTCAACAACTCTTTGGAACTGGTTTTCGAAGCTGTCAAACTCAGAGGTGACTTGAAAATCCCCGCCAACACATCTCAGTAGGATTATCAACCACAAGGACCAATTTAGAAAACGAATGGCCATCTTTAAGCGCATAAAAAAGTAGATAACACCAGAGCTTGTGAGGACACGTCCGCACCGCATCGCACCGCAACTAATTAAAGGTAAAAAATAGTCACAAAAAGTGCCACCAGGGTCGAACAGGGTCTTCTGACGATTCCTAGATCCAATCAAAAGACGTATGGGGATAGGTCATTTTCAGTTGCAGCACCAAAGCTCTGGAATGCCCTACCCCTTGCCATAAGGAATAGCGGATCGATCACTCTTTTTAAATGTAAATTAAAGACTTTTCTTTTTAATAAATATCATTTATAATTTACTGTAGAATTGTGAAGCGCCATAGGGCAGTTAGCGTATGTTGTGGTATATAAATGCCATAATTAGTAATTATTATTATTATAGCCAAGCGGGTCCTTATACATAATGACAAGATCAAATACAAAGTTGACTGCATATTAGCCGATAAAACGCTGTCCATGAGGCTTGTCATCTGGGAAACCGTAATCAACAAAGTAAGCAAAAGTAAAAGCTACCTCTTGAAACATCTCACAGTACACACCTTTGATAATATTTAATTTGTACACACGAATGAATTAACTGTAATTGGTGAGGTTGATGACATCGACAACATTAATATCGTTACAGGCCAATGCTTTGGGGTTAACATTAAAAAAGCAGCCTGTTGTATGGTATGCAACAGAACTCTTCCAGCAAAAGCTTCAGATATGAAATGATCACTTGTAATAACTATAAGATAACAACACTGTTTTTTTTTGTGTTTGAGGCGGACGGCCAGACTCTCGTGAGGGCGGTGCAATGCCTGCCGACCACAAGTATGATCCAACTCGAGGCGGGGTTGCAATGCCTACGGGCTGGGTCCACCACAAATTGAGGGTCACCAGACACCAACTTCGTTGGGGAATCGAACCCCACCTCACTTAAAAATAACCACACACGCACCAAAAATCGACACACTCGCATGGGCTACAGAAAAAAACGGTCCCTGTGCAGTACACCAACAAAGGAGACCCAGCACAAGGGATACACAACACGAGACGGATACAAAGAACATGAAAGAGCCAATGTGCAGTACACCAATAAAAGAGACCCAGCACAAGTGACTCAAAAGACACACTCACTCAAGCAAAGACACACTCACCCAAGCAAAGACACACTCACTCAAGCTTGGGAGAGAAGGGCGACCATCTGTTGCCCGCTGTCACTCAGTATAAGCGCTGGTTGACCTGGAATAAAGAAAAATCTCCACAAGACTTGCATGAATCTGATTGTTGAAAAGTCTTCCGCAAACTCCAGGTGAACTGCTCGCGTGTTCATGCAAGTAAATATTACGCCATAGTGTTTCGTCTGCTTTTTTCTTCCAACCTTGACGTTGTAGGGTCCGATATAGTCACAGGAGGTATAGTGGAATGGCGGGGTATGCGGAGTCAGCCGTACATCGGGCAGGGCAACCATAAGTTGCTCCTCTGCCTTATGCGACATCTCTTTGCAGAAAACACGGCAGGACTTTACTGATTTGCTCAACTTCTTGGCTTTCAAGATCCAGTATTGTTGTCTAGTCTTGGCGGTTGTTGTAGCCACTCCTGCATGGCCGAATTGGTACACGTGTCGTGTTATTAAGAGTGATATCCAATTTGTCGTCGGGAGCAGGGCAGGATGTTTCATCTCGTAGGACACGATAGCTTTGTCGAGCCGCCCTCCGACTCTAATAATTCCTTAGTCATCAATGAATGGGCTGGGTGTTTTGAACTCGCCCTTTACCAGGCGATCATGTAGACCTTTCTGTGCATCTCTGATCCAGAATAACTCTGCTTGCAGAAGTTCTTCAGGGGTTAACGGACCCTGTTTCCCCTCTTGGGTGTATTTCCTGATACGTATTTTCTCGCCCAGCCTTTTTAAACGTGCTGTGACTCTAATCAGTCTCCTCCAGCTGGAACACGCTTGACAATCAATCGGATTTTCTGCTATCTTCACTTGACAAACCGCTTCCGCTCGCTGACGTTCCATGTGTTCTTCTGGGGGTGCCTGAGCCGTGCATTGCTGCGGCCAGAGTTCTTCCGGGAGTCGTAGGAGCTCTGGTCCATCACTCCATCTCCCTGTCAAATTCTGAACACTGATACCTCTGGATAAATCATCAGCTACGTTTACCTCTCCAGGAATATGCCTCCACTGACCTGGCTCGGCATTACTTTGGATCTGCGAACGGTTTGAAGGCTCGTGATGGGCCTTTTATCCAGGCCAGGGTGATGGTGCTATCTGTGAAAAAGTAGACG